CAGGATTCCCTCAGCTGGGACACAGCATCGCCTCCCAGGCCTGCCAGTTACGATTGTTCAGACTGAACGGTGCACAAAGGGCCTCTGCTAAGGGGGCCGTTGGCGAGGAAGGCGTGTCTGTTTCCTTTCTCCGTATTTGCAATACAACCGTGTTGACTCTAAAGCTGAAATGTCGGTATGTTTACTATGAAAAACGTCTGGTTTGGGGCAGTGCAGTTCCTTGTTTTACAGAATTCGCATATTGTGTCCATTGTAACAGGTGGAAGGGAGCTTTGGGGAGCGGGGTCCCCTAGGAAGGGAGCTTTGGGGAGCGGGGTCCCCTGGCCACCCGCCCTCGGGACTCACGAGCCTGCCCTTCTCTTCGCAGTTCTTCCTGTTCATCCTGATCATCTTCTTGGCAGAGCTCTCCGCGGCCATCCTGGCCTTTATCTTCAGGGAAAATGTACGTACCAGGCCCCGCGCACTCTGGCTCCCTGCTGCCAGCGAGGGATCAGGGGCCATCATGGCCAGACTGTCCCATCCTCAGAGGGACGCACAGTCAGCATCCTCTCACCCACCACTTTCAGCCCAAACTGACCCAGCCAGCCTCTCTCTTCCTGATGAGGGGTTTCCCACAAGGTTAGCGTGGGGGGGCCCTTAAGGGCCTCGCTCTTCCAAAACATCTAGTGCAGTCACACACCTGACTCTGGAACCTTCCATCCACACCTTGCCAGGAGACGGCACAGCAATATCAGGGAGCTGTCCCCTGGGCCTGGGAATGTGTGATGGGCAGGAGAGTGGGCAGAGCACTGTCAGCTGAGGCCCTGGCCAGTATCGATCGCTCCACTTGCCCCACAGGCCATCTTATTCCAGGGGCTCCAATCACCTGGGGACTAGCTCCCTCCTGAGTCTACAAGAGCCAGGTGCCAACCAAAGGTGGCCTGGAAACAAAGAGAGGAGGGGAGGAGGGAGAGAGGGCTGGACACCCAAGCTGGCTCTGGGTGGTGAGCAGGTGAGCTGTCACCCAGAGGGGAGGAGGCAGGAGCCTGCAGGCAGAATGGTGCCTACAGGGTGTCCCTCTGCTGCACACTACCCAGGGCTCCACCCTCTCAAAGCAGCAGCAGGAGAGGGGTTGGACCTCTGGAGAGTATTTTGGGGGAAGTAGTAGCTTCCAAGGACCTCTCTGGAAACTAGATGTGCAAAGACTACCTGCTCCATACCGTGGTCTCTTCAGGGCCTGGGACCCAGGGCATCCGCTTAGCTCTGTCTGAGGAACAGCTCAGGGCGGAGGGGGTGGCATGAGGGTGAGCCCCCCACTCTGTTAGCCTCCCTTTGAGAAGAGCTGCAGGACAGAGTGAGGTTCCCAGTGCCCCTGGCCTCAGGGTTGCCAAAGGGAGTGTGTAGACTTTTCATGTGAGTGATCCCACGATGGGAGAGGCCACAGGCCTTGAGGTGGGATTAAGGGACACCCCCCCCC